ATATATAAACACTCATTCTCATGAGTGTGTATGCATTGTGCGAGGAATCGAACCCGTGACCCGGTATGCTATTCCGCTAGACCAAACTGACAGAACATTTCTTTTTACTCTTATCAAATGAAATTGTATGATTACGATAATACAGATTTATGCGTAAATTAAAAGAAAACATTTCATCAAGGGCCTAAATCGTAACAGAACAGTCTCCACAAGCAGCACCCGTTCTCGAGTATGACAGGTGAGGCAGCCAATATTTTGTTATCAACATTTAACACTGACCACGGCAATCTGCCACGGTAGCGCCGATAGACCACCCTCTTCGGCCAGTAGTCCTCCTTCATGAAGGTGGGCAGCATGTTGGTGGGGACCCGGGCCACGATCGCTATGAAGCTCGCGTTGTAACTCGATTTCAGCTGCGTCACCCTCAATGTCAGGTTACTTTTGGTCCGGATGTAGTCAACAATGCCTGTTCCTTGGTAGCGTAGTGTAGAGATGTGCTAACTAGTAATAAACATAAATCGAGTTGAAATTCAGGTAACTCGAGTGATACGAGTTACCTGGAATAAACAGTTGTTTTTGTTTTTTTTTTTAATTTTTCGAACAAATCTAATGTTTTAGGTTGCAGCTAGCCTTGAAAGCTTCACCAAACCATAGGGGGCGAGTAGAAATGGCACTTCAAATCTGCGGAAGGACTTAGAACGCATAATCATTTTAATGAAACATAACCGGACGAATATGCGAAAAAATGATAACGACCTCAAATCAATATTGAAATATTTGTGACGAGTGAAAATTGTATGATATGAAATGATCGGAAAATTTCATGTTATTGCCGATTCGTTGACAGAATCATGTTCTCGCTCTGTCACTTGATTCGTTCATTTGTTCCTCAGGGCTCTATTTTAGGTCCTTTCTTATTTTTAGTTTACATAAATGATCTTCCTTATATGGTAGAAAAGATAGCTGACATAGTTCTGTTTGCTGATGATACTTCATTAGTATTCAAAGTCAATCGACATATTGATGATTTAGACGAAGTAAACGGTGCTCTTTCTTATGTTTTAAAATGGTTTACGGCTAATAATATGTTACTAAATGCAAATAAAACTAAATGTATCAAATTTACTCTCCCCAATGTAAGGCCGGTAGATTCAAAAATCACGTTGGACAATAAACCTATTAATTTTGTGGATGATACTGTATTTCTAGGTATCACATTAGATTCCAAGTTGCAATGGGGTGCTCATATTACTAAATATTACTAAAAATTTACCAGCTGAATATTTCCAACTCGAGTTGGCAGAATTCAACTCGAGTTAACTCGAGTTGACACATCTCTAGCGTAGTGTTGGCGGGATAGGTACATTGCCGTGGTCGGTGTTGCGGCACGTAACAAAACGTTGGGCCCTGTCGGTGCTGTGCCACAATGGTTTCGATTGACCCTCGTTGCACACTTCTTCATGTTCACTCATGCATGATTTGTAATTAATAGCATTTACTATTAAATTTAAGAATTCAAGCGAAGTCTATCTTTTCTACAATCCTGTAATCTGCTGGAGCCATCAACACCTACCATCTATTAATTCGAGCCGCATCATCACGTCCCAAGACCTTTATAAAACCTGATTGTGAATTGCTAAACGGTACTAATATATTCTGTTCAAATGTCACTTGATGTGGATTAACAAAACACTACAACTCTATATCTATACATATAAATAAAATTGTAATATAAATACGGTACATACACCAAAATAACATTTTTTACAATTTTTGTCTGTCTGTTTGTTCCGGCTAATCTCTGAAATGGCTGGACCAATTTTGACGGGACTTTTTTTGGTAGATAGCTGATGTAATAAGGAGTAACTTAGGCTACTTTTACTTTTAACTAATAATAATAGTCTCTGGACAATTCACACAGCGTCATATAGACCCAAGTTAAGCTAGCTGAAGCTTGTGTTATGGGTACTATATAACTGATTCAAATACATCGATTTTTTTTTTCGTAAATAACATACATATTATACATAGAAAACGCCCAGAACTATATAAACAATCATGCTCATGAAGACAAATGTTAAAACGGTTCAAGGAATCGAACCCGCGACCATCGGAAGTAAAGCGTTGTGTTAACTACTAGACCACTGAGACCGTTATCGTTGTTAGAAATATGGTTTCCATTACATTATTAATAATTTATTCTAAATTGTTGACAGTCATAAGTAGTCTTTTCCTGGGGAACCTAGGATGAAACCTTACAAAAGTGAAGCCTATCTAGTGAAACAAAGAACAATATGTGGATAAATATTACTATGTGTTGTGAATTAATAATATTATACTTAAATCTAAAAGAAAACATATTTATTCAGTGCTTACAATAGAAACAAAAACAAATAAAAAAGTTATCGATACATATAAATACTATAAAATTGGAGTGTCTTTTTGTAATATTGCAATAACAGTTTTTTACTACATACCTACATATGAATATAAATACGGTACATACACCAAAATATCATTTTTTACAATTTTTATCTGTCTGTCTGTTTCTTCAGGCTAATCTCTGAAATGGCTATACCGATTTTGACGGGACTTTTATTGGCAGGTAGCTGATGTAATAAAGAGTAACTTAGGCTACTTACTTTTATTTTAGAAAAATAAAGTTAAATTCCACGCAAACGATGTCACGTGTACATCTAGTAATATATATATAACTAAAGTAAAACAAAAAGAACTTGAATTCTTCTACATACACCAAAATAACATATAATATTACAATTTTTGTCTATTTGTCTGTTTGTTCCGGCTAATCTCTGAAATGGCTGGATCGATTTTGACGAGACTTTTATTGGCAGGTAGCCGATGTAATAGGTACTTTTATTTTAGAAAACTAAAGTTGAATTCCACGCGGACGAAGTCATGTGTACAGCTAGTAATATATATAATTAAGTAAGCAGGTATTGAAAACTAAAATATTTTAACATCACCTACATTTATATTGCATTAATATCTCTTTCAAATTAAAATATCTTTATTCATGTAGGTCATTACAGACTCTTATGATATGTCAAATCTACCGTCAGTTCGGAGTGATTTCAAACTAAGAAATACTTACATGTACTCAAATGTTATTATTTTCAAAAATGCTTATACAAATGTACAGATTTGTGTTTACAAATTAAAGACCCTATTGCTAGCAATATACCATGTCAGTGACCTTCACATGGAAAATGTTTTTTTTTTGTATGATAATGGAATGGTGCACCCGCCTGCGCTAACGGTTTACACTGGCGGGGCACCAGTGGAGGATGATAAGATGAGCATGAAGTCAGGTCAGTTAGCCCATCGTGACAAATTCACCAAGAATTCATCACGATGGTTTCCAGGGAGAACCACGTGGAGGTCGACCTAACATGGTACATTAATAATAATAAATTTATTTGCAATAGATTTTGGGTACATACATATATGATGTTATACAAAAACATGGCCCTTACAAAATCTGCTTATATCAGGCGTACAAATTTTAAGTTAATTAAATTATCGATTCTTTATATAATTATGAATTATTGTATGTAGGTATATGTCAATTTGTACATAAATCTAAATGTCATGAGGAACAATTTATTATTTTAATATTCCAAAAACTCTTTAATTGAGTAAAAACACTTGGAAACTAACCATTCATGCAGTTTTCTTTTAAATAATATTCCAGAGAGGGTTCTTATATCGTCAGGAAGCTTATTAAATATTTGTATCGCCATACAAAATGGACTCTTTTTTGTCATGGATAGTTTTATTGTAGGTACTTTTATTTTACTTGTATGGCTGTCGCGTACTGATTTATTCATCGTTGTCTGTTTTAGAGGAAAATATTCTGGTTGTTCTTTAACGAATATGCATAATTGTTTAATATATAAACATGCTAATGTAAGCAGTTTATTTTTTTTAAATAACGGGTGACAAGATTCTAGTACATCCGTACCAAAAACTGATCTTATACATTTTTTTTGTGATTTAAACACTTTATCAATAAAAGTACAGTTTCCCCATATAATTAAGCCGTATTGTATTACTGACGCCACATGTACATGATAAGCCAATAGTGCACTCTCGGTAGAGGATATCTCACGGAGGCGCCGAAGAGCGTAAACAAACCTACTGAGCATGACTGACATTGCTAGCAATAGGAGGTACTAGTTCCCATTACTAACAATATCCCCCCCCCCCCCCCAATGTAGCCAATTGAAGAACACAGTAGAACACCCTGGAAAATGTTAGGTTCCTGATGAATTTACCACAATGGCTAACTGACATGCTCATCTTATCATTCTCCACTGGTGCCCCGCCAGCGTTAACCGTTAGCGCAGACGGGTGCACCATTCCATTATCATCCATAACAAAAATTATACCAGTAGAATTATAAGGTAAGTATGAAGGTATAACACTATAGTCCTTAGGAATGCCAACACATACTTTGAAATAAAAAAAACATGAGACTAGCCCAAGAAAAAAAAATAAAAAAAAATGACTGTAAGCAAGTTACCATTTACCATCAGGTGAGCTACGATTGAAGGCATCACCTTTTTTTCTGTTTTCTATTCTAGTTACATAAAAAAATCGTACGTAATTTATGGATGTTACAATGTAACACGGCTGTGAGTACCAGCCGATCTCTCGAAAATTAATTTCGATTCAATGACATTGGATTGCTCCGTTTCGCGCCTTTTTGTACTCATGAATACACTAGCAACATATTAATTCCATATTTCATGGTCAATAGAACTCAAATTTATTGATTATTATCTCGATTACAAAGGAATCGATTGGATCGAAATCAATATTGAAATGCAGGTAACAAGTACAAAAAAAAAACAACGCACGAACAAAACACCACACGCAAAATACAATGTGGATATCACATTATATTCTTTTATTTTTATTATCTTATTTTTCAGCTCGCACATTATTATAAAATAGTAAGCATTATTGGCACTAACCTCTCCCACTGTTCCAACTTCGCGCCAATTTCTTTTTTGCAGAGACAGTTCTATTTAAATTTGTTTCCATCCTATTTTTGTGGATCACTGTGAAGCCAATAAAAAATACTATCAATATTGTATACACATAATAACAATTATGTTCTAATGTCCACAGAGTTAATGACACGATGTTCATATTTTTGTAATTCGTTTTCGCGCGCGTTTAAAACAAATATGGCGGCTGACAGACAACCGTCTACGACCGATACACGCCGCGTACTAACTTTGTTTGTTGTCATATCATTTGTTTTACTCCGCTATCTTACAATCGACAATATTTATTTGCTATTCGATTTTTAACTTTATTTCTTCGGCCGTAGGAGACTTGAGAGTGATAAATATTTACAATTTTTGCCACAACTATCCTTGTTGGCAATGTTATACACTTTTTGCGTACACGTTTATAAGCAGCCTTGGCATTTTAAAATAAAATTATAAAAGCAAAAAATTATAATTCTGGCGCATGTATAACCATCTCGATATCTACTCGATATAGGCCATTTACCTTGAATATTGTTTATTTTGTATGAACCACATGGTTATAATATTAAAACCAAAGTTAGCTGTAAATTATGATAAAAAAATTAAAGCATATTTTGAGCTAAATATCTTAGGATTTTTTTTAATTTATTACTGACTAGCTGTTCCCGCGACTGCATCCGCATGGAATTTCACAATAGTTTTCTAAAATAAAAGAACTTTTCTAAAATAAATGTAGCCTAAGTTACTCCTTATTACATCAGCTACCTGCCAAAAAAAGTCCCGTCAAAATCGGTCCAGCCATTTCAGAGATTAGCGGGAACAAACAGACAGACAAATATAAATTGTAAAAAATGTTATAAAGTGGTTTTTTGGTGTATTTATATTCTGTATTTTTATACTATACTATTTATATACTGTATTTATATTCATATGCATGTAGTAAAAACCTGTTATTTCAATATTACAAACAGACACTACAATTTTATTTATTTGTAATCTTGCTATAAAAATATAGGTATAATTTTAAATATTGCTTGCCTAATGAGGCAAAGCATAATGGGACATTATACTTTACAATAACAACAAATGAAAAACTATATTTATCGCAAAAAAAATCATTGATTTAAGTTACCTACCTACGTAATCAAAGAAAGTATATAAGTTAAGGTTGCCAGCCCAAATTTAAAAAATCAGGATTCTAAGTTCAAAAAACCAGGACTATCTAGTTTAAAAACAGAACGCAGTAATAGTGTTGCTATAGTTATATTAATATGTAATACAAATTCAAGTAATTAATATAATCAGGTGTTTAATAAAAAGTATTTGATAAAATTATACTGTTGAAAATCTGTAATTAAGAGGCGCGCATGTGTTAAAAACCCAGGACGCTGACAAATAACTATTCAGGACTTCCCAGGACATTAAAAACTAGGACATGTCCTGGGAAAACAGGACGGTTGGCAACTCTAATGTAAGTAAATATCATATTCACTTAATACCAATTTCTTAGAATAGAATAGAATAGAAAATCATTTAATCAAATAAACTTAATATAAGCCCTTTTGAATAGTCATAACAATTTGTTTTTTATCTACCACTCGTTCGGAAAGCTGTCTCATCACAAGAAGAACGAGCAAGAAACTTGTGTGTTGCTCTTTTAAATAATCCTTGTAAGTTTACATTTACAAGTCGAAACGTGTGAATACAAACTACCAACAAGCACTAATTTTTTGGGTCAAATATAATCATGCAATAAGATTAAATCAGTCGTAGTGATAAGAGCAGACCAGTCCCTACAAGCAGCACTCGTTCACGAGTATGACGGATGAGCCAGCCATCACTGCGCTCGACCATATTTTAGGGAGCCCATTGACCCGGCCCACCACGCCGCCACATGTCTGGACATTTTAGTGAGCATGACTACTCATTCCACACGACCACGTCACAGCTACAAAAATTACTATATGGTAGTTACAGTATTCGCACTTTACATAAGGGTGCATGCGGCAATCAATACAAAAGCCGCTACGCTATCATATATCAAGAAAGCAGTATGAAAATTAAAATTATAACGTTGTCCGCAAATAAACTTATTCTTGCTATATATTGCTATCATCTATAAATTCATCTATCTTCCTTGCTTCCATCTTGCTTCCTTGAAGTTTAAAATTTAAACTTCAAGGAAACTTGAACTAAGTACGTAAGGAAGTTGAGTAACAAGGGTTCCGCATCATTGATTCAAATTAAAATCACTAACTGTGCCCGCCAGTTTTTAGCCTGTGTTATTCTGATGTATAAGTTATATTACTGTAAAGTTTCATTAAAATCCGTTCAGTAGTTTTTGCGTGAAAGAGTAACAAATATACATCCATACTCACAAACTTTCGTTTATAATATTATTAAAAAGATAGTGTTATCCCTGGATTTTCAAATAGTGCCATCTAGTCCCTCTGCCTCCTCCTCTGCATCTGCCTCTAGGTAAGCACAGCTTCTGTTGTGTGTACTAGACAACTTATATAAATACATGGATACATTTTTTTTGTAAATAAATACATATTGTACATAGAAAACACCCAGACCGATTCAAACAATCATACTCATGAATACAAATATTGGTACCGTGCGAGGAATCGAACCGACGGCCATCGGATAGTAAAGCGGTGTGCTAAACCACTAGACCACCGAGGCTGTCAATAGAAATAAACAGGTTGTACAGAAGTGAGAGGTAGCCAGATGGACAGACCTTTTTAGTACGAACACAAAAAAGGTTTTCTGACAAATAAAATTGATCAAGGAACCCTAACGTCTTTAAATATATTTAAACTCTTCGAGTTATCTTACTTAACTGGAGGTTTTATCTAATCTAAGCGATATAGGTTAGGACTCTAACGGTTTATTTTTAGTTAAACCAAGTGACTGTTACTTTTTTCGTTGATTTCTTGGTTAAATTGTATCCCATCAAAAACATAAATGTGAAATGATAGCCAAGTTTAATATTATGATATATACCTTGATTGTTGACTTCTACAACAAAAGAGATGAGATCTAAATGGGTGCCAAGTTCAATGGTATGTCCTGAAATGTATTTATAACAATATATAATATCATTTCTTCTTATAACTTAGGATAATATACTGTAGCCTAAGGTCTAACTTGAACTTCCTAGGTCATCTGGAAGTGGTTATAATTTTGATCTATAGTTGATCAGTGATAAAAATGACGATATTTGGACGTTAATATCTAAATAACCGTTTGAGATATGTTTATGAAATTTGGAACACATATTTATCTCGCAAGTCTCAATATATGAATCAAATTTGACAGGTTTATGTGAAAGAGTTTTTGAGTTATGAGGGGGTCAAAAGTGGCTCCAAATGGTTCGTGTAAATATACACACGGTGCTGCAAGCCAGTTACTTGAAACTCGGCTTGACACGCTACCGCGTGTCTAGATGAATTTAGTTAATGAAATACAATACAAGTTTTTTCGTAACATAAAAAGAGAAAATCTCTTCAAGTACAAGTACAGAACAGAAAAGTTTGTACCGTTTGAGTTTCTTACCATTTATTCTTAAGTGAAGTGACTATACAGGCTTGGCGGCATTAGCACACCGCTTTACATCCGATGGTCGCGGGTTCGATTTTCGGGTATCCTCGCACGGTACAAACATTTGTATTTATGTAATATGATTGTTTGTTTCGTTCTGGATGTTTTCTATGTATATTATGTATGTCTTTAAGTATTCATATCAGTTGTATAGTATCCATAACACAAGCTCTGCTTACCTTGGGAGTAGATGGCGTTGTGTGAATTGTCCAGGAGTTTTATCATTATATAATTTCTCTCAGATAATCCTTAGATAAAGATCAAATTTGCCATTTGCCATTTTAATACACAAATATGGATATGCAAAACATTTGTTAAATCATATTTACTGAGCAAAGCCTAATCATAATTACTCACTAAATGATTACTTGAATGACGAGCGTGCATGGCAATAGTTGTTCATGCACGGGATTTTCATTTAATGTTACACATAGACACCTATATAAATATACATTGTAAATAGACTAGCATTTAAAAAGAAAAAATAAGTCATTCAATTGAGTTTCTGTCCAGTTCTTCTCAATTGGATCTATATACTGAACTGGACGGTAGGGAAAAAAATAAAATTATAATGTAAAAAATTTGACGTTTATAAGCGGCTAATATGTCGTATGAAAAAATAATTTTTGAATTTGAATTTGAATTTAAATTAAATGCTATTTTGTGACATTTTAATACAAATCCGGAAATAATAATAATATAATATTTATTTAAATAAACTCAATACAAGCACCTTTGAATAGTCATATTTTTGATTCTACCACTTTCGGAACGCAGACTCATCACAAGAAAAATGAGGAAGAGACACAAGAAAAATGACAACATTATGGATGTCAATATATCAATATAAAAGTAAAATAAGAATAATAAAAATATACCAAAATTAAGTACAAATATGTCAAGTCGGAATTGAATGACTAATCATAAAATAATCATAAATCATTTAATAATAAATTAATAAAAATAAATACAAAATCATACTCAGGTTTGAGTCAATATATACATAGCAACTGTTACGTGTAATTTAATGAATACTTAATTTGAGCTAATGTTTTGTTTTGTTGTATGAGAATGGAATGGTACACCCGCCTGTGCTGACGGATTACGATGGCGAAATACCAGTGGAGGACTATAAGATAAGAATAGGGTCAGATCAGTTAGCGCATCATGATGAATTGGACCAGGAACTTATCACGATGGTCTCTAGGGGGAACCGCGTGGTGATCAACCTGACGTGGTCCATTGCTAGCAATGGATTCACTCATATTAATAACAATCCCCTTCTCTAAACTAAGATTATGAACAGAAAAGATATGATCACATATACATTGACGACCTCGGTGGTCTAGCGGTGTAGCACACCGCTTTACGACCGATGGTCGCGGGTTCGATTCCTCGCACGGCACAAACATTTGTATATATGAGTATGATTGTTTGTATCGGTCTGGGTATTACAAAAAAAAATATATGTATTTGTATCAGTTATCTAGTACCCATAACACAAGCTTTAGCTAGCTTAATTTGGTCCTAGATGGCGCTGTGTGAATTGTCCTGAGATTATTGTTATTCTTATTGTTATATACATACTAGCTGCTCCGGAAAACGTTGTTTTGCAAAATAAAT